GCGATCAATGCTTGCATATCCATCTCGCGGAGCATCACTAGAACGCCAGCGGCATTGCCGCTATGCTGCCCCAGGAGCTCACATCCCTATGGATCATCCCGTGGAAGATCTCCAGTGCATGCTCGATCCGGCCGCTCTTGGCGTGGAGGGAGTTCCCAATCGCGGTGCTGGATTCCAGGCCGCAAGACGCGATCACCTCGCCAGTCCCCGCGAGGTTGCACGGGCAATACGAGGGATCACTGGCGAGCGCGTCCATGATCGTCATCATCGAGAAACCCTAAACCCTAAACCTGGAACTCGATCGTCATCTCCTTCGCGCAGCACGGGCGATTGGATCCGTGCGAGGGAGCTCTTCCAGGCGATGCATCTCGAGGGAATGGAGCCGCGTGACGATCGTGAGCATCCTCTCGGCGTGCCACCACGCCGGGATCTTGGAGGAGGCGCGGTGCTACTTCGTGTGCATGGCGGACGACCACGGCATCGATCCAGCGCTGCTCCACTATGGATCCATGATCGATCTCTTCGGCCGCGCAGGGTGGCTGGATCACGCCGCTGGTGCGCGAGATGCCCATCCAGCCTGCGATCACGAGAGTCACGGCACTCCTGGGATCTTGCCAGATCCACAGGATGCGCGGCGGATGTCCGGGGCGGCAGAGCAAGCGATCGATCTAGACCCGAGAGTGCCGCTGGGGGATTAGCGTTGCTATCCAATACATAGAATAGTGGAATACGAAGAACCCTAAAAACATATTCCTTTTTTATACCTTTTTACAGAATTGAAGAATCTAGTTTGGAGATAAAAGGCATATTTAGTTCACGGGATAAAGGCATATTCTTTTCATTAAGAATCTTTTCGAATCTTTTCTATTATACCTTTTTAGAAGTAGAAAAGAATCTTGTTTGGGTTTGATTGATCTTGCTGCTGGAGCACGTCTTCGAGCAGATCTTCGCTAAACTCGAGAGCTGCGCATCGAAACATCTGGCTGTCCACCAGCTTACCTTCGCTGGCCACTCCCCACGCTGCGTGCTCGAACACTTCCACCTCGATCGTCGCCACGAATTACTCTCGGCACGCGGGCTGCCACTCGAGCTTTCCAATCGGAGCAAGGATTTGCTCCGAGAACGACACCGGTGAAGCATAGCACAGAATCTAATCGCCAAGGAGGAGAGAACCGAAAGCCATACCATGATAGTGTGTGAAGGACCAACTCCGATTAACGCGAACTTCGCTTCCAGGAGAGAGAGCTGCACGTCCTTGAAAATGGTCTCAAGGTCGTTGGTGCGCAGATCCAATTTGCAGTTGGCCGATTGGTATCCGAGTGAGAAGACGTAAGGGGTCTCTTGAACCGAGCTCCCGAGCAGACAATCTGGGAAGAATTATCCCGCGACATCCCCTGGAGCCACACATGACCGGCAGGGAAAGTTTCTCCCCAGTTCTTCTCCTGGTGCGCAAACCCCGTCACCGTGAACCACCATGTTCTTGTCGCTGCTGAAAAATGTGTACTTTGCTCGGGAGCCCAGGCTGTGCACGTACCAATGGCATGGGAACAGTGGAACTTTCCCTGCCCAGCCTTCGGGGCCCTTTTTACTGTTGCCAGAATCCCATGGAACCTGGAAAAAACACCGGGATATGAGATTTTGTTTTGGTTCTGGAATGAAGAACATTACCGTGTCACTGGTCTCAACTCTGAGGTCGTAACCATTTAGCCAGACCTCCACCTCGGACTCATTCGGCTTCATCACGATTTTTCCAATGCCTGCAGCCTCCCACTGAAATCGCTTGGGCTCGTCGCCATTGTCAGCTCCAGACAAATCTCCTGTCGTGCTAAACTTCGCGTCCTGCAAGAAGAAAACAGCGGGGAAACTAAGAAACTTCCAATGAAGAAATGCAGGTCAACAAAACAAAAAAACACCAGGAAGGATTGCAAAACAATGTAAAAAGAAGGGAGATCATCGAGTTCCAGGCCAAAGCTGTGATCTCCGGCATTCTGTCGAAGAAGCATCTTGCCTGGATCACGTCTCCCATGCCAGCCAAAACAATAGACCATAGTCAATGAAAAAAAGGAAAAGAACAGTGGGTGGACGACATGGAGACTAGAAAGCTAGTAAACTATGATCGATAAAAAAAAGGAAAAGAATAAAAAGCTAGCGAACTATGATCAATGAAAAAAAGGAAAAGAACAGTGGAGTGGACGACATGGAGACTAAAAAGCTAGTAAACTATGATAAAACTCACACCCGAAATACTCGTAAACTTCAAACAAAACGAATGCTAGCAATCTAGGAGTGCGTGAGCTAGAACAAGAAAAAAAACCATACCTTGGAAGCGATAAACTCACCTTTGTTTTCACGGCCACAGCGTGTGAGCTATGCGATGAATCACTGAAGAGCAAAGTAACCTGGCTCTCCTGTGTCGCGTAATTCGTCGCCATGATCACACCAGGGCTGAATTGCCTCGGCTCATCCATAAGCCGCGTGTACCATCCCTCGAAGGAAGGATAGGGGCGAATCCTCTCCGGAAGAAGCCGGCTAAAGCTGGGTTTGTGAGGATCCCACGAGAACTCCGCTGGCAACTATGGCATCGAGAGTTTCCTGGCGACGATGGCAGACTACGCACGGGACAAGGAAGCGGCAAAGAGGGTGATGGAGATGGAGTGGGAGGTGAGGTTTGGGAAGCAGGAGGACACTTGCGTTGCCAAGGCCATCTGCGAGAGAGGTATGGAACTCGCTGCTCAAGTCCTGGGCCTCTGAGTGAGCTTCTGGAGTGTTTTCGTATTTCTTCTTCTTTTTCTACTACTACTTACTATTTCTCTTTCGTCTCTTCTGCTGTTACTAGTTCTTGTGCTTTGCCAGAATCCTTCTTTTTACTTTGTAGAAATAGTAGTATCAGAGGTCGAGCAGACCTCTCTGAGTGTCGAAAAACTAAAGTGGTTATAAAATAGAAGACTCGTCGTCTGACAGATTCGAACTCTCGCGGGGAAACCCCACCTTAACCACTTGGTCCATGAAACCGAAAGTAATCCAAGTTCTGTGCATGAAAAAGTGTATAACTTTTTTTCGAATTTTTCTTGGTCGCGACCCGAAAACTGTGTGAGAAGTCAAGGAGAAAAGGACGAGACCTTCGTTTCTGCAAGAAAACAACCAAGTCGATTAGGAACAGAAAAAGAAAACAAGGCCTTGCCATATGCTTGATGTCGGTGAGGAACTCCTGGCGAACCCTCTAACGTTCGAATGTCTAGCGTTATTCTAGAAATTTCTAGACTAACTTGTTCGATGCACAGAGAAAAGGAGCAGCACGAAGCATTGGGCCAGGGACAGGTTAGCACTGCAAGGAGCTTTGATATCTTCCAGTGTTTGAGGAGACATACAAGGTAACAGAACTCTCTCTCTCTCTCTCTCTTTTCTCTTCGTTTCTTTGCTTTTTATTTTGTGTGAAAAGAGTAAGCATTCTAGTTAACTAGGGTTTCTTTTCTCGGCATGGCGTTTTTGCGAGCGCAGCGCGTTTTGTACATCCATCCCACAAGCGAAGCGGAGCTAGACGAAGGAGTGCTGCGACACAAAGGGAGGAGAGGTAGGCCAGTTCCCAGCACTCTGCCCGATGTGGCCGGCCTTCGGGGATGGCTGCAAGAAGAACTGCCTTTTGTGGATTCGGTCCTCGTTCCCGGCGATGGATGGTACAATCCAGAGTACTTACCAGACGGCCCACTTCCTGTGAGCTTTGCGCTTCATGTGCGTGGATCCGAAGGTAAAGTAAATGGTTTCTTGCTCTTGGTCTCCGCTCATTCTTGGTTTATGTGATCAGGCAAGCGACGCAGGGACGAAAACACCGCTGTGACAGTCGCAAGGAGTCAGACGAAGAGGGTGAAGGATTACCAAGTGTACGAGCCCATGCTCGTGAAGCCGGATATCCTACTGGGCGGCCGGTCGAGTACCATGCTCGTGGCTCTAAAGTGGCTAGCTTTGCTCGAGCGCGAGGCTGCCAAGGTAGACCTTACAAGCCTGAGAGAGCTAAGGCTCGCCAAGGTGAAGCCAAAGGAGAGCGCTTATTATCCCGGCATCTTGGCCTTCTTACGAGCCGCTTCGATTGGTCAGAAAGGCTTGAATTTCGGTGGGCAGGGCTATGGAAACCTGAAAAGGGCGGACCTGCAGGGCTTTATATGCGGCAAGCCAAGAGCTCTGTCGGAAGTGAAAACAAAGGTTTTCTACGCAACCGATAAGGATGAGACGGGTATGGTGGCTAATGCTACGCTGATAAAGCAGGAAGCAGACTATCTGAAAACGGGAATCGAGGGAACTGATGAGACGACTCGTCTAGGGTGCCTGTTTTGCCGCATGGACAGGTTCTGGATTGTCAAGTACCTGCGAGAGACGGATAAGGTTCAGGTGACGCCGGGATTTCCTTTCGGTCAGAAACCGGATGAATCGCCTCTGCAGCTGGCCGGCTTCAGTCCGGATTTTGTGCTGATGAAGCTTTCGTGGCTAAATGAGATCAGCTTGGAGAGCATCAGCCTGAAGGACGTTCTACCTCCTAAACCGATGCCTGGATTTTGTACGTTGGTCTCCTATACGGAGGAACTGCAGCGAATGTACGATCTACCGGTGCTGAATGTTCGTTTCGTGGGACCAAGCACTGATATCCCGCTCTCAGATCTGACGCCAGTGGCTTATGGCAAGAAGTCTCTTGTGGTGCTCCGACGATCGGCGTCCAACGTCCTCAAGATCTGCTCGCCATCGAGTGCTGAGATGGAGCGACGCATCCATGGAGCATCTGACGGCCACTCCAACGTGCGGAGGCTTGTGAACTGGGGATTGGTGAGCATCGGGGAGACCAATGACGTGTTTGGCTTTCTGGAGCTTGAGGGCTATGGCCAGCCTTTTGGTCGGGAGCACATTGCCGACATGGAAGCGATGGATGATATGTGGAATCAGGCGTACTGCGGGCTCAAGCATCTCCATTCCAAGGGTGTTCTTCACCGGGACGTGAAGCCAGACAACCTGGTCGTGTTTTCGGGTAACGTGCTCAAGATAAACGACTACGATGTGTCATGCTTCAAAGGCGAGAGCCGTGCTTACAGCGAGATGGTGGGAACTGTCGGGTACCAGTCTCCTTCCGATATGTTGCCGTATGTGGAGGAGGACGACGTGTTGTCTCTGGCGCTCTCTTTCTATGCCCTCAAGTTTGGAACGACAACGACTTCTAAAGCGGGCCGGCTCCATATCTTACTCCGAGAGCTGCAACCGGATGTTTTCCCTGAAACAATGATCCAGGCTGTCAAAGAAGCGGTGACGCAACTCGACTTGGAGCTACTTGAAGAAGATTAGTACCTGAGCTAATAAATATTATAATAAAGTTAACTTTAGTTTTCAACTAAATTTAACTTCAAGATCATGCCCACAACTCAATTTTTTCTAAATTCTCTAATCTCATCTTTGATAAACACAAATTTCATCTTGATTGAACGGTTTGTAAATTGAGAGCTACTACGTTCCTGAAGTTGCCATCTAACCGTTGGATAGCACATCATGTTTTAAACAGTATTACTCTGTGAGGTCCCACTAATCACACAAGATGTGGATCTCAATATAAGTTGGACTTTTTTATTTTGTTTGTACACATGGACTCCACAGACCCTTGATGATGCTATTGTGATCCCCCTGGAGGAGATGCATTTTGCAGTACAAGTTCCATTCTTCCTTCCCTCACCTTGCACTTGGCAAGTCTACCACACTGATGGAGTTTGACCCTCCAGCCAGTTTTGAAATAGAAGAACATAGCAACTGAGATGGGTGTGGTGGTCGTGCTCATGGACGCATTGTAGGCATGGTGGCAGACCACAGTGTTTTGGGTGCCTGAGGACATATTACCACAAATTGTGGGAATCACCATCAAGCTACAATTGCACATGTAGGTGAAAATGTAGAATTGTTCCTTGTAGATAGTCAGTGTCAAGGGGCTAAAGTGTGTTTGTGACTGAGACCAAGACAAGATTCATATGTTTTTGTTTTTTAGACTAAGTGTAATTAATTAGTAAAATATTAGCAATAATCTAATAATATAGGACAAGGGAAGAATGTGAGCAAGTGAGTGGTATGATGGAGAGTAACATTGGTGTCATTAATGATGACAATACTGAGGAGGATAAACCTCTAGATGGCTACAACAATTAACATTGGAGCAAGGAGGCTCTAATTCACAGTAGTGGTTCTCCATATTTACTCCTCTTGGTGTCTTGGAGTTTTGCAACATAGTCTAAAGTTTCAAAGGGTTTCTCTTTTGACATTCATAGATTATAAGAATACTTTTTCTCTATCCTTCACTCTCTTCAGTATATGGTATGGAGTTCATTTATTTTCTCTAGTTTTGGTGGATTCTAGCTCAGCAATTTCCTCCATTTACTGCTCTATTGTTTGAAGTTTAGCAATATCTCCACAATGTCATATGTGAGGTTGTTAGAACCAATTCAAGTTTCTCGTCTATTTGAATTAGTCACATACAACTTCATAGGGCCATTTCCACAATCCACAATTAATATATGGTTGAGCTGTGTGCACTAAATATAACAACAAATTCAGTTGCACAATTACTTATGCAAACAGTAATGTTGTGATATATGGTTGTCCTTAGAGCCCAGCTTATGAAGTTTTAAAAGTGTTGACATAACATTAAGCTTGCATCAGCTTATCATCTAGAGACAGATGAATTGGTAAAATGACTCAATTGGATGTTCAAAAAACTGCTTGTGAAGTATATGAATCTGCAATCAAATTGGGATTAATGGTAGTCATTTCTATAATTTGCCTATGTGACCATATCATCATTGATAAAATAACAATTAAAGACTCTTGTCAGGGGAGAAAAAAGTATTATTTCCCATTTAAGAGAACCTTAAGTAGATGATATTTTGGAACTATACTTATATATACTTTTTAATAAGATATACTTTTACCCTTAAAATTGAATTTATAAACCAATTCAGTGTGGAAATAGAAGGAGTAAACTGTGAACTCAGGCATATCCTGGCCCCTAAATAAAGGGGTTAAGGAAATAATCTCCTCAGGTTCACATTCAGTAAAAGCGGGGGAAGAGTCGGGTGCAGATGAGTTGGTGTTTCTCTTTGTTTTTTCCCTCATTGCATGCAAGATGTCCGATTGTTGGCCAAAAGATGGTAGATCCTTGGTGTACACCCCATCCTCAGTAACTGTGGGATTGACAAAGATTGGAGCCTGTTCTATTGTCTCAGCAGGCTAGATGCCTCCTGTTTTGTGATCGTCCACGTCCTGACCCACATGCACTGTGGCCACAGGCTGGATTATGATTGTGGTAAGTGCAGTGGGGTCCTTTGAGTCTCCTCAAACAATGCACCAGTTGACAAAACAGTGAAAGAAGTTGCTACCATGTTAGTTTCATCATTGCACTGTTCCAGTGAAGGTGGCAAGGCAGATGCACCTAGGAGGTTTTGAACTTGTGACTGGATGGTGGAGAAGTTCAGTGTAGTTGTGGTCCAGTCCGCATGAAAGAAATCCACTATATTGCACTTGACCACTCTGATTTCTGGTAACAACTCATCTTCGATAAGCTCAGGGAAGAGAATCTTCAAGGCTTGATCAAGCTCAGAGTTGCAGGTGACAGCCACTTGAGACAAAAGTGGAAGTAGTGACCTGCCATGAGCATTGAGTAAAGTCGCCTTGTGAATACCATCAGTGATCATTGACTCGCCTTTGGACCATGTTGTCATGCAAGTGGCCATGAGGTGCCATGGCCATCCTAGGATGATAGAGTCCTTCAAATTCCTGGATCCTAGTTGTTGAAAGTTCACAACAAGGAAATCTAGCATGGAAACCACTCCTTGCACTGAGATCTTGACATTCTAGCAGATGCCCGCAAGAACCATTGAGTGATTAGCAAATATTTTGAGGATGGTAGCTTTGTTTCCAGAAACTTCCAAGCCACTGGAGTGTGCCAAATTAAGGGAGATGATGTTGCTTTGGGAGCTAGAATCAAGTAATGCTTGTGCTATCAAGGATTCATTGCCTATTTGGACACCAAGAATGCTCTGGGGTTATGAATGGTTTGGGTATGTATGTCATGCTAAGGTTCCACAAGGAGGCTTGTGGACTTGGCAAAAGCCTCCAACTGAGAAGTAAAACTGGATGTGGGTAGTGTGGTAGATACCAAAGCATGAGGTAACTTGCACATCATAAGAGAGGGTGAAGTTCCAAAAATTGGCATTGGATCTTGCACACCATCAATATTTGGGGCTGGAGGGGAACCTTTCTTGCACCCTCTAGTCACAACAACCACCTGATAGCCATCCTCGGAGATGTAAACCATACAGACATGCATAGGTGTCTTCCTGCAGCTTAATGAAGGGGTGTCTTTGATCATTTTCTACTCCAATTGTTGTTGATATCTGTATGATGGCCATGGAAGAGAGGTGTTGTCTGCTAGAGGCTATTGCTGAATATGCTGCATAAAAGGTGGCCAAAGTTTTGGATGAAGCTTCTAACATCTCTTCGTACTATGTGTTGAAACATCGCAATGCAAGCAATACTAAGAATGAGGAGGATATCTTGGTCTCTTTGCCCACTATAAGTGGTATGCTCTAAGCTCCTCAAGCAGCTTTTCTTGCATTTATTGCTACTGCTAGATGATCTCCTTATATCCTGTGAGCTCTGACAACAGCTTCTCGGTTGCCAAAGGAACTCTATCATCACTGTGCAAGGCTAGAGAAGAACGGACCATGGCACCACATGACCCCTCATTTGAGGATGGAGGAAAGCATCCTCTACCATGGAAATCGCAAGCTCTTGGAAAAGATCCTGCTCCAGAATCTTTGTTGCAACAAATGCCTCACGGCACGTCTGAAACTCTCGCTTAAGCGTCTTGCATTGAAAATTTTCCTTGAGGTCATAGATGAATGCAGTGATGCCATGTGCCACTGATATTAGCATTAGATAGGCATGTATAACCAGCTAGAAATGGAAAGGCTATACAATATAAGTCTTCCATTTTGAAGGAAAAGATCAAGTTGGCAAAGATGTTGAAGTGCACAATTATAAGGATAAATTACATTAGTGCTGTGGCTATGGAATTTGTTGTTGTGACTAAGTTGTCAAAGGTGCTACCTACATTGTTCAAATTTGTGAAAATCCATTTTATATTTGTCTAGATTTTAAGAACAAAGGAAAGGTATATTTAGCTTACAAACATATCTATTATAGTTTTATGCAAGAACTAAACTATAGCGCATGTGATCATGGGATGAGATTTAGATATACTGTCACTGCGGATTCTTGAATCTTGGGAGATAAATGGGGATAAAATAGACACTAAAGGCTCTTTCATAAAGCAATTACCCCTTTTCGAATTGGCTTAAGAGGAGAGAAATAAAATGTGTTACATATGGTATCAGAATAAGTGGCATAGGTTGGATTCCCATTGATTGGCTACTTAAAATATAATATACTTTTGAGCAAGGTATATTTCTACCCCTAAAATTGAAGTCAAATATATTAGGTATCTATGAGTATGTCTTTCATGTTGTAAGACATCTAAAGATGAAGGTATTCACCATGGGATTGCGGTATAAGTGGATGACTAACTGTTTTATATAGAATAATTAGTTTACACAATGAAAGGATTGTATATTCAATATGGAAATGGAGGTGTTAGTTCCCTTTGGCTTAGTAGGGGTTGTTAATCAATAGTCAATGAGGACATTGACATTTCTAAAGGGGGGTGCATGTGATTATGGAATGAGATTTAAATATACTGTCACTATGAATCCTTAGAACTTTGGGGGATAAATAAGGATAAAATCGCCACTAAAGGCTTTCTCATTAAACAATTGCCCCTTTTCCCAGTTGGTTTAAGAGGAGAGAGATAGGGTGCACTATATGAATATAGCACATATAGTTTTTACCTTTTATCTTATAGTGATTTATAATAGAATAACCATGAAATAGAACTTAAACCCTCTTTGTGCCACATGCCATGTGTTCAAGGACAATAGGAATGAAGGAATGAAGCCAAACTCCTAAGTATGGAGCCAAGGAATAAAGTGTAAGTAACTAAATTTTCCATTCTACTTTAGTCACTTAATCACATTTATAACCACTTGCCTCCATAAGTCTTATTTTGGACTTGGGGACTTGTTAGCTTCGTGAATAATATTTATGCCACTTAGCCTTTGCACTTGGTGCTCCACATGTTCGATCCCATGACTAACATCCAAAGGCACCACCGACATATCAGCCCATTCACTAAGACCATACCCATTCACTTTTGTCACACCAGTGATCTAAAGACTGGGCCATCTGTTCATGAGTGATCATCCTAGATTCACTCCTTAGCATCCTTAGGATGCATGCGGACATGGGGAATAGCCTTCCTTAATATCCCTTTTATAGTCCC